GGATTCCACCGTGAATTCCCGGCCCCTGTCCCGGGCTGATTCTGTGTTTTCTTGAAATCGTTTTATCAACTAATCTCTTTCTTTACAGCCTAGCTTTTTCTTGTTGCAGTGACTTCAGTCACCAACAACAAGACGTCAAATGCATTGAAAGACAAATACAATTATGACAAAGGCTGAGTGAAAGACGAGCATTGAACAAAAACCTTAGCAGGAATTTAATCTTCTGTTACTTAGCCTTCGATGGAAAGTATTGGATTCATTGAGTGAAGTTATATGACCCTATACCCTATAGTGAGAGGAGAAAAATAGCTTCATTTTTCTACACATCCTTTCTTCTTCAATAAATGCTCACATAACAGTCTGAAACTAATTGCTTTGAAAATTTTGCTTTTTCATACAGAAGAATCTCATAACAACATTTCTGATTCTAATGAGAAATAATTGGAAAGAAGTCATTGGTTATACGTCTCCGCCAAATAAGTCTGCAAGTTATTTTAGAACAAATTTGTCTTCACAAAATATCTTCTTTGCTGGTCACAATGGCTTCATTGCAAAAAAAATTGATTACTACTGTACATCCCAGCAAATAATTTGGCATTTTGAAACACATGGCAAATGCATTTCATGCAGAATTTGCCAGGCGTTTCTGCCCAACCCAAGTTGTGCCAACTGGGGACTTTCCTTAATGCGTAGCAGGTAGGCATTTTGTTATGCCCACCTGCTACGCGTTGCAAGTGGGCATAACAAAATGCCTACTTCCAATGTGTAGCATATCAAGATGTCCACCTGATACTGTTAACATTCAAAAAAATTTTAGGTATAAAAAATGTGAATTACTGCATTTTTATGCTGCTGTAGTTTGCTTAATCTTTCCATTGGATTACTTGACTAGTATGTGTCTGTGTGCCATGGTTTATAGGAGTATGAGCAAGTGCTGTGAGTGTACACAACCCCGCGGTATAATACCCCAGCCAGACTCCATTGGCCAGAGTTCCCCCTCCAGCCAATCTGTCTCAGTGCAGTATTATACCGCGGTTGTGTATGCTGGTATACAACGGCGGTATGATACTTATTACCGCAGTTGTATACCAGTCGTACAACTGCAGTAATATCACTGTGATTGGCCATGGTATTCTTACCACAGCCAATCCCAGCATCCCAGCAAGGATCCAGGAGTCCAGATCTGCGCTGTGGTACGATAGTGGTTTTTTAGTGTGATTGGCTGTGGTATTCTTACTGCGTCCAATCACAGCATTGCAGCGCAGATCCGGTAGTCCAGATCCACACTGCCGAACTGTACCGCTGGTATAATACCAGCAGTACATGGCGGTGTAAAATTATATTAAACAAATGTTGTGTAATATTACAGGACATTTGTGTACTATATTACACCACATTTGTGTACCATGACAGTAGTATGATGTGGTACACAAATGTCGTGTAATATATTTGTATGGCATTATACCATTATGTACTGCTGGTATTATACCAGTGGTACAGTTCTGGCAGTGCCAGCACAGATGCAAACTACCAGATCTGCACTGCAATGCTGTGATTGGCCTCAGTAAGAATACCTTGGCCAATCACACTAAAAAAAACAACTATTGTACTGCAGCACAGATCCAGACTAAAGGATCCACGCTGCAATGCTGTGATTGGCTGTGGTAAGAATACCTCAGCCAATCACAGTAATAATACCATGGCATTGCATTGTAACAGGCATTTTAAAATGCCTGTCTGTTACAATGCCAAAAACGGTTATTTTCAGATTTTCCTTGGTTGTGGCATGGAGCATTTTAAAATGCTCCATGCAACACCAAGGGAAATCTGAGAGAATTAAAATTTTCAAATGTAGCAGGCAGGCATGTCAAAATGCCTCAAGAAAATTGCATCAAATTGTTTATAAGTATAGTGGTAACTTTAGAATGCATTAAAACGCATTCCCAAAGCTTTGTAAACAATTGTTTCAGTACACCACAAAAAAAAGAAGAAGGCATAACAGAAGAAGCTGGGCATAACAGTTACGCATGACAAATGCGTGTTGTAAAGCTTAACTGTTACACCCAGCCCTCCCTGTAACAAATTATTTGCTGGGATTGACCCTTGCTGGGCTGCAAAGTCAGACTATTTGTTGCACCTCAGAGTAGAAAAGAAAGAAAAATGACAACAGGGAGTTGAGGACAAAGTTGAAAGAAGTCCTGATGTTTTTTCTTTCTGTTTGCACAGAAGAATTTTGTGGGAAAATGAAAAATTATACATTAATCAACGGGCTTTTCTTGGATTAAACCTGACTTTGCCTCAACCCACCTGGGAGGTCTTTTCTGACCTTCAGAAAACTTAAAATGCCCCAACATACAAAAGCAATCCAACTTTGGCCAGCAATGGGAAAAAACCACCTGCCATCCAAGAGTTAATATTTGAAGTAACCAATCAAAGCATCCCTCTCCAATACAGATGGTTTCCCGTAATTCAGCCCTGATCCATTCAAAAGTGGTCAAATCATGGAACAATGTCAAATCTAATGCTTAAAATTTCAAGGCAAGAGGTTGAATTGCAATTTGATGTCCTAGCAAATTTGACCGTTCACTTGTGGGACATTTGAATTGCAAGATGTCAAATTACAAGGTACAACCTGTAAACATGAATTTTTGAATGTACTTATGTGATTCATGCAACTTCATTCAAACTTCAGAGAGAAGGGAATTGATGCATGTCTCATGAATCAATTGGATACTTGACACACAACTTGAAGCAGGTTCAGCCATCAAAGTTCACACATATTGACAGAGAAGTTCCTCCTCAATGCTCCTCTTTGTGTCATCACTTGGTTGTTTTTTTCTTCAGATGGTTGAACACAGTTCCAATGTCTCCATTGCTTTCTTAGCTCAATTGAGTGTTCTTTCAGCATAATTCGTTTTTAATTTCAATTTTAAAAGCCCTTTCCCACTTGTTCCCAATTATCCTTTAAAGTATAGGATTGAAGTTTTTACATGTGGGTGATGATTGCTGTAGGCCATCAAGAAATCCGATGATTTCTTTTGCATTCACAATTTGAGTAATGAAGCATAACCTAAGAAATTATAACCTCTTCTGCACTCCAGTGCGAAACAGTGATTCTTGCAGAGCCAGCTTGCCTGCTGATTAGCCAAAGTTGGGAAAAATCCCTCAAAAATAAAGCCATTGCTCGGATAATCCCTCACTGCTAAGTGCTAATCTCATGGCAGAAACGCAAGAAAAATGTCACCCAACAGTAACTTTTTTGCTCTTTTGTTCAAAATTTTTGTGCAGGAATGCTGAAATTTTTTTTGGATACATCCCAGCAGCTTTGGCTCTTAGGATCATTTGAATTTTTTCTTCTAATCCTTTGCTGTACTTGAAATCATTGAAACCAATTACTGTGTTTGATCCCAGGAATGCACTTGAGGTCTTGAAAAAAAATCTTTTGACATACTGTTTGTTTCACATGGAATTCATGGAGAGTTATATACTGCATCACCAGAAAACCTTTTCTCATGTGCAGCCTTCCACACCATCAGAATCCAACTTCTAAAAGACTCAAGATTATACTACCTGGTGTAACAATTGGTTTGGAACAGGCTGAACAACTTCCTGCTCAGCAATTGCCTTGGGCTTTACTTTTTTCTTCAAAAGCATCAAGACAATTCATAATTCAATGATTATCACATGTGATATTTTCTTCCAAAACACGTACAATATACTGTATAGTGAATTCATTTTTCACATATTTGATTGTGTTGATGGGAAGTGAGGTGAATGCTTGAAGCTTTTGTGAATGTTGACCAGCTGCAGACAAAGCTTGTACATACAAATGAAAATTGTCCCATTTCATTCTGTACTGTATATAGACACTAAGGAACTTTGATTTTCATTTGAGAGGCTTTATTGATGAATCTAAAATCTGAATACTGTATAATAAATTAATGCTTCATTGTTGCAAGCAAATTAATGCTTACCACAAATTAGTTTTCCAGCCCCTGTTCAATATAGCCAAGACACTATTTCAACTCAAGTCCAACCACTTTTTTATAATAATGAAGCCTTCTAGAGATCCTGGATAAGACCTTGTTGCAATATGTCATTTTACTGTATCTGCGTTTTCAGAGGTAAATTTCACTTGTTTAAGAGCCTTAGAAAATTTTAAGAGTATTATCAATCTTCGTTTGAACTGATTAGAATAATTTACCCACACAGGACGATAAAGTAGGTATCTCCTTGATTTTCGAGTGCTTCTACAATCACCATGTATCCTATGGCTCTCTTCTTCCTCTGTGTATCAGAAGCTCAAAACAAGTTTATGTTTTTTTCCAGGCAAACCAATACATTTTTTCTGTATTTGAAGACCATATGTGTTTTTTTGGTGGCACTTTTAAAAATTCCGCTTTTTTTTTTACATGTCAAGGCAAAAGTCTTCCAGTTTTACGGTGTCCTATTTACGCTGTAAAATAGATGATCTCTTTATAAACAGGAACTTGACACTTGTCCTACTTCTGTTGAAAAAGTGGGTTGTCTGTGGAAGACGTGTTTTCGGAACATAAAAAGACCAAACGACAATCGATATGATCCATATCTGTTCCCTCATCTCCCTATTTTCTTATTAATTTTTTGAAAGAGCCTCTTTGCACATGGTGCTGTGGTGTATGCGTAATAGTTATATGCTCATCATTTCTGGGTCGGTGGTGTTCTGATCAAGATTATTCCATCGTCAGTGCAATATTGGAATTTTAAAAAATGGTTGTGTGAGACGCGTATTTAGAAGGATATTCTGTGCATATTTTTCAGAATTTTTTGAGATTCGAAACAGGTGCAATAGGCATTTTATTCTCGGCAAAAATAATTGAGGATAGCTCAGGATATCCGAAGAATTCCTGCTGCAAGTGCTATCTTCACTCCATTCATTTCATACAATTTTTTGGCATTTAAAGATAAATTCACAAATCATCAATTTTTATTTAAGCACAACAAAGCAGAGCTCACATACCAAACGCTACTTAAATTTTTTGTCAAATGCGGATTCAAAGACGTTGATTGTGAGATTGCTCATAGAATCATTTGATAATGCGTTGTCAACATTTATGCGCTAATCTGTGCCTGGTTATATTCTGCAAAAATTTTCATGTGAAAAAAACAATCAGTGTTGCATTCTACATTCACGACCTGTATATTTCACTCATGCAATTTTGTCGTGGCTTGAAACTTGAAAGTACTGTAAATATAGAAGCTTGTTGACTCTATAATAAACTGATCTACAGGTAAATTCAATCAAGTCATATTCAGAAAAATGGAAGGTGAATATTGACTTTTTCCTCTTCAAAATATTCCTAAAAACTGCGTCTTTGATGCAGATGCTAGTCTGCATAAGCGACATGTTGACGTTCCACAAGAAAGAGCTACAATCAATGCCACTGGAGAAACTTCAAGTCAGTATGGAACTGTGGAAGGAGGTGTTCAATTGAAGAGGAGAGTGGGACTCTTGAGTGGTGTTGCTTTGATTGTAGGAAATATGATTGGTGAGTGACTAAAATGATTGAGTCATCCCTATCTAAGTGGAATTTCCATTGGCAGGTTCTGGGATATTTATTAGTCCAGGATATTTATTGGCCAGAACTGGATCAGTGTCTGTTGGCCTGATCATATGGTTGGCTTGTGGACTGCTATCTTTACTTGGTAAGAATAAAACGGTACTGCATTTTTGTGGAAAATAATTTTCTTTAAATTCAGAATGACTAATTTTTGCTAATTCAAGACTCGAATTAGTTATAAAATTTGAAACATTTGTAAGAAAAATGTTGTTAAAAAACTCAAAAAATGTTTCTAAAATAAAATTTTCCCAGATTCTCCATTATGGTTGAACAATTTAAATAGTGATTTAGCAGGATGATATCCTTTTGGATAATTTGAGTTTCAACAAGCATTAAAAATTGAGATTCAAAGAAATATGAAAACCTGCTCTGTTGCACTTCACAAATAATAGAAGTAAACAAATTGGAAGCAAACCTTCAAAATTGACAAATTTTGGCAAAATGACAAAATTATATCAGTGACATGAAAATTTTATATTGAAATAAAAATTCATTCCCTTTGGTAAAATCTCTTGAAAATTTAATGTCACATATTATTGATTATTAATGATGTGATTTTAAAAAAAATAGGTGGTTTGGCATACGCAGAACTTGGAGGAGTGGTTCCCAAAAACGGAGGAGAGTTTGTTTACTTCCTAGAAAGCATGGGAGACTTGCATCCAGTTCTGGGGCCTCTGCCGGGTTTCTTGTTTATCTGGGTAACTTCCCTGTTACTGAGGCCCTCTGGACAGGCCATTCTCACCTTGACATTTGCCAGGTACTTGTTGTACCCAATTTGGCATGGCTTGACAGATGCGGATCTGGAACACCCAGACTGTGATGGTGTTGATCTATGGAGCTACAAGCTGGCAGCTGCTGCATGCATTGGTATGTTTATCACTTAATCCCTGGATGGCAGCAGCCTGTTCTCCATCCCTGGGCAAAGTTAGACATTTTTTCATTGAGCCTGCATTTAATTTGTACCCAAGGTTATGCAAACCTTTCCAGGTGGGGAAGGGCAAAAATGGATTTCATCCCGGGATACAGAAATGCCAAGAAAGTTGTGAAAGTCAGACTTTTTTCATGGAAACTTGTTACCTAGGCTCCTGGTTTTCAAGCTTTAATTTAATCATTGAATGGGGGGAACAGCACAAGCCCAGGGAAAAAAAGTGCATTGAAGATGTAATTTTTCTCATATCTGAAAAAAATTATTCTAAGGAAAATAAAAAAAACCAGGATGTTCCCTGACTTTGCCCTTTGTGCACTGGATGTCAAGGCTTTTTCATGTAATTCTGAGGTGCACGCAAAATTTAAAAAAGTCTGACTCTGCTGCAGACCGTTTATTTACAGATTGTATGTTTTTACTTGCATTCTCAATTATTGATTTGCTCTATATCTGACTTTCTGATCTGCTGTATAAAGTGGGATATTTGGCAATTTGGAAGTACTTACTGTAGTACCTCATACAAAAAAGCATACCTTTGTTTTTCATGCACTCTGTTTGTTGCACAATTTATTCTATATACAAATTCCATTGGATAAAAAACAAATTTTCTCATTTTCATGAGCAATACACTAGTGACTTTTGCAAATTTTCTAAATACAGTACAGCAATGAAGAATTTCACCACGCATGTTTGTTCTACAGAACTTTTTCACTTCAATATGTTGATACTGCAAGGTATCACATCATGGTACTTATTCATCAGACCAGCAAATTTCCAAAATTTTGTGGTTTGCAGAACCCATCCATCAGAATATTTTGTGTCTCATCAGCTGCCGGTTGGTCAATTCATGGTGGTGCACCCACCGGTGGTAAAGTGCCGGTTGGTCCAACCGCCAGCCAGGGCAGTTCTTGGCCTTGCCAATCCCCAGCCCACCAAACTGAGGTTTGGTCACCCAATTGTTGGGGCACGCAAACAATTGGGTGACAAGAATCATGCTGATTTTTTTCAGAATTCAGTGAGCAGAATGGTATCCCACCACGGATTTTTTTTCTTTGAAATTTCAGCAATGTTAGGTTAGGTTACGTTAGGTCAGTTTATGTTATGTTAGTTTAGGTTAAGTTAGGTTAGTTTAGGTCAGTTTATGTTATGTTAGTTTAGGTTAGGTTAGGTTAGGATATGTTAGGTTAAGTTAGGTTGGGTTTGATTAGTTTTTTCTTCTTGTGAAAATTTGTATAAGATGAAATTTTGTTTAAAAAAATAATCTGTGGTAGGATACCATTCTGCTCACCAAAGTCTAGAAAGAATCAGCATGATTCTTGTCACCCAATTGTTCAGGTGCCCCAACAATTGGGTGACCGGACCGCAGTTTGGTGGACTGGGGATTGGCAAGGCCGAAGACTGCCCTGGCTGGTGGTTAGACCAACCAGCGCTTGACAACCGGCGGATGAGCAACCTTGATTTGGATGGCTGATGGATAACCCGGTACCAGAATATTTACAATTCTAGTGATGTTCTCCAAAAGACTTCAATCAAATAATTTAAACCCCATTTGTTTTTGGCAAAAAATGAAAAACTGCTTTTAAAATTTTGCTTTCCTTGACATCAAGATGTAAGATGAAGCTTTTCTCAATAAAGTAACACATAAGCAGCAATTTTTAAATGAGAGAGAGCCAAAATGCCGAAACCAAACACAGCATAGACTCTGCCATGTTGCAAATTTGCTATATCGATGGGGCTATGTTTAATATTTTTTGGAAATTATTTGAACAGCAGGGGAACACAAAATTAGCCTGTCTTGAAAAATGAATTGGACTTCATTTCAAAAAGGAACATACACATTTTTTCTGACAGCAGCTACGTCATGTTTTTGTAAAGTACTTTTGAAGAATAAAGGTTTTGCATGCACCCATGTACAAGATATTTTGCAGAAAAATTGGCCATGACTCAAGTTATTGTCCGCATTTCAGGTCATCTATATATTTTTGGATCCCACTGAATATAATTTGTAAGACTTCAAAGTAAAACAGCCGGTAGATTGAATAATATGTACCTTGCTGTCTCCTTACCAACAGTGCTTGCAGCTTTCATCAATTGTTACAATGTCAAATTGGCTACAAGAGTGCAAACCTTCTTCACTGGGGCAAAGTTGCTGGCAATCGTTATTATCGTGATTGGGGGGATTTACAAAAAGTTAGGTTGGGTTTGATTAGTTTTTTCTTCTTGTGAAAATTTGTAAAAGATGAAATTTTGTATAAAAAAAATAATCTGTGGTAGGATACCATTCTGCTCACCAAATTCTAGAAAGAATCAGCATGATTCTTGTCACCCAATTGTTCAGGTGCCCCAACAATTGGGTGACCGGACCGCAGTTTGGTGGACTGGGGATTGGCAAGGCCAAAGACTGCCCTGGCTGGTGGTTAGACCAACCAGCGCTTGACAACCAGCGGATGAGCGACCTTGATTTGAACAGCTGATGGATGACCCGGTACCAGAATATTTACACTTCTAATGATGTTCTCCAAAAGACTTCAATCAAATAATTTAAACCCCATTTGTTTTTGGCAAAATATGAAAAACTGCTTTTAAAATTTTGCTTTCCTTGTCATCAAGATGTAAGATGAAGCTTTTCTCAATAAAATAACACATAAGCAGCAATTTTTAAATGAGAGAGAGCCAAAATGGCGAAACCAAACACACCAAATACTCTGCCATGTTGTAAATTTGATATATTGATGGGGCTATGTTCAATATTTTTTGGAAATTACTTGAACAGCAGGGGAATGCAAAATTAGCCTGTCTTGAAAAGTGAATTGGACTTCATTTCAAAAAGGAACATACACATTTTTTTTGACAGCAGCTACTTCATGTTTTTGGAAAGTACTTTTGAAGAATAAAGGTTTTGCATGCACCTATGTACAAGATATTTTGCAGAAAAATTGGCCATGACTCAAGTTGTCCGCATTTCAGGTCATCTATATATTTTTGGATCCCACTGAATATAATTTGTAAGACTTCAAAGTAAAACAGCCGGTAGATTGAATAATATGTACCTTGCTGTCTCCTTACCAACAGTGCTTGCAGCTTTCATCAATTGTTACAATGTCAAATTGGCTACAAGAGTGCAAACCTTCTTCACTGGGGCAAAGTTGCTGGCAATCGTTATTATCGTGATTGGGGGGATTTACAAAATTGCTGAGGGTGAGTTGTAGTAAAATGTATCACCTTTATGTAATCTCTTGGAATTTGAAAAAAAATCAATAATATACAGGGCATGGCGAGAATCTCATACCAGATTTTGAAAAGACTGGTGACATTGGGAACTTAGCCAGTGCCTTTTACAGTGGCCTTTGGGCATATGATGGATGGTAATCAAATTTAACTGCAAGAGATGTGACCAAGATTTATAACTCTATTTTTTTTGTCTTCACAAGGAACAACATGAATTTTGTGACTGAAGAAATTGAGAACCCACATGTGTAAGTACTTGGGTGAAATTTGGAATGCTCTGTTTTTTTTTTAATCCAAAGAAATTTCATTTCCAGAAATTTGCCAAGGGCCATAATGATTGCACTTCCTCTGGTCACCCTGTGTTACACCTTGGTGAATATCGCATATTTGAGTGTTATGACTCCAGCTGAGATCATTGCAAGTAAAGCAGTGGCAGTGGTATGCAAAAAAGTGTGACACCAGGAAAATATATCATAATTACAACTTTTTTGAATATTGTATGTTGCAGACATTTGGTGAAAGAGTCTTGGGGAAGGCAGCCTTTATTATGCCTTTAGCTGTTGCGTTTTCAACATTTGGAGCTGCCAATGGATCCGCATTCACTATTGGAAGGCTAGTTTTGTGCTTATCTTTACAAATACTGCTTCAATAAGTGGATCAAAAATAATCATGGGAACCTTGAGAAATCCCTGACAATTTTTTTTAGGAAAAAATGATTTGCATGAAAGACTCACATGAAAACATTTTCCTTGATTGGAAGGTGCGTATGATAGGATCTGGAAAGATGACAGGGCCAATTTGAGGCAAGGCCAATTGGATGCAGGGCCTAATAGAAATGGATACTTCTGGAGACAGGGACAGTTTGAGACAGCAGCTTTTTGAGACAGGGACAACTTGAGACAGACACATTTTGACAATTTGAGACATTTCAAGACAGAGACAGATTGAGGCTAGATGAAGACCACATTTTTCCCTAATATCTTATGTTTAAGGAGTGAAACTGAAAAAAAATATTCCACTGTTTGCTGAGAAGTGCTGTACAGCAGCTAATTTTGTTTCACATAAGAGTATAAGACAATTTTACATAGGGACACTTATGCCCAGAAAAAATTGAAAGTAAGGCCTAAAATGGGAAAATATACTCAATGTGCAGAGAGTGCAGGCCAAAAAGTTTAATATAAAAACAGAATTTGTCAGGAAGAATGAAGGAATAGCACCTTGTTAGTTTTGTTATATTTTGTAATTAAAATTAGTTGAATGAATAGCTATTAAATGGGAATCTGAAGTAGCTTAGGTGCTGTCTCAATTTTCCCTTTCTCAAATTGTCTGGGGTTCAAATTGTCTGAGTCAAATTTTCCCTGTCTCAAATTGTTGCTGCCTCAAATTGTCTCTGTCTGAAATTATCTGCCTCCATTTGTCTAGTCATACATTGTTGGTCTAAATTTTTCTGTGTCCTGGATGATTTCAGGTATTTTCATGTTTGAATTTTGGAATTTCTACTTTGAAAGGCAAAATGTATTGAATAATGACAGAGGACATTCAAAAGTAAGGAAACTGTCATGGGTCCATTGGATCCCAGACAAAGGAATTGATTTGTGCAGCCATCAGAATGCAAGTTTTGAATAGGAAGTCAAACTCTCTTGCGAGGAGGTCATTCTCATTTCCCAGTTCATCAATTGGATGTTAATTCAATGTTGTAATGGCAGAGTTAATGGTTAGCTCAGAATAATGATTTATTAATTTAATTTAGGTTAAATGGCCCTTTAACACTAGGTTCTGACTTCTTTGACTTATCCTCTTGAATAGGAATGAAGGATTTTGTACCTAGGTGCTTGGACTGGGTCAGGAAGAAATCAGGTGATTTCTTCCTGGCTCAGGATTGGCCAATAAAGGATAATCAAAGAAGTGCTGTCCACTTCTTGTCCTTGAGTGAGGCTCAGTGAATCTTGCAAACACAGGATTTTTGTGAGGCTCACAGGCCTCAGAAATCCAACACGTTTTCCAGTCCGGTTTCTATCAGATGCTGGAGCTGTGTCGCTTTGGGCCGCGACAGAAACTAAGTTAGGAGTTTACTTTTTTTTAATGATGAGAATTCAAAAAAAAACACAAGTTTTAAAGGCTCATCAAGGATTGTGATTGCTAAGAACAATTTAAGTATTGGCTTCATAATTGTACAAATATTGTGCTTTAAACAAGAATCCCAAGAAAGCTGATTGAAAATTCATTTTTAAATTATTTTTTCACTGATAGGATGTCGTATGCTGCAGCAAAAGAGGGTCACATGGTTGATGTGCTGGCCTATGTGAATGTCAAAAGCTTGTCTCCTTCTCCTGCAATTGTTTTCAATGTGAGTTAAGCAAAACTTTCACTTTGTCAATCCAGAAGCTCGTGACTTGAGCTACTGAAAAAAATTAAATCGATTCCTGATCGAATGTCACCCATGCTGTGGAAATCAATCACCCTTTTCCAGGCAATTTTGGCTGTGACGATGATCATGACTGGGGATATTAGGAATTTGATTGATTTCGTCAGCTTTACAACATGGATTTTTTATGGATTATCCATGGTGTCACTCATGATCATGCGAAGGACAAAGAAAGACACGAGGCGTCCTTACAAGGTGATTTATTTTGAATACAATTGCGCATCAAACCCACAGTTGAAATTCGGTATATCATGAAATCCTTTTCGTGAAAGTAAAATTAGAGTTTTTAGCCTGGAAAATCCCCTTTGTAAAGAAGAATATCTGGTTTGCAAAAATAATCCCATCACTCTCTCTGTCCCGGTTTTTGGCATGAAATAATACATAAAAAAAATTCTTTTGCTTGATTTCTGTCTTTTTGGATGAAAGACTTCATAAACAAATTCATGCTCCTCTAGCTCTGCAAAGAAATAATTCACGTCCTCTTTTATTGGCAAGCATGACAGATAAAAATGTCAATACAGTAAGATCTCATTACAACAAATACCGTTACAACAAATTTTTCAGTCAGATTTTAAAAAATGAGCCTAGAAATACTCATGTTAAAAAGGGTTTGTATGCTTGAGAAATGCTAGTGATGTAAAAATTCTTAGCAATTTGACACATTCACCCTTACAAATCTTTGCAGGGATTTCTTTAAACAACTTGTAGTCAAGAAAGTGTGATAGTATTTACCTCTTATTCAGAGTTTATGTTTTTATTATTATTATTAACAGTTACATTTCTTTTTGAAGATCAGAGTTTTTTAACCAATGAAACAAATCTGAAAAGGCCACAAAAAGATGATGTTGAATATAAGCAGGTCCAATTTGAAGAAAATCTTCGAATCAGTCAATAATTTTAAAAATCTCATTAAAACAAATTATTTGTTACAACAAACTTTTTCCGAAGTCCCCACAAGTTTGTTGTAACAAGATTTTACTGTATATGGGAGAATAGCCGATTTTTGAAAATATATATGTATTATTCCATGTGATCCTAGAAATACTGAGAACCACTTTTTGTTTTCAAAGGTGAACATTTTGGTTCCCATCGCAGTCCTTTTGATATCTGTTTACCTGGTTCTTGGGCCAATCATTGATGACCCGAAGATTGAGTACCTATATGCTCTGGGATTCATTATTCTTGGGGTTTTCGTCTACGTCCCATTCGTGCTTCTCAAATATCGTCTTCCGGGAATGAGTAAGTGGAATTTTATATGAAGAATTGATGGATTTGAATTTAGGTCAACTCAAGAGACATTATTGCATGAAAGATTCGCAATGTCACCAATATTTTTATTGGAACATCAGCAGACTTTCTCGAAAATAGACTCTGAAAAAGGATAAACCTTGAAAATATAAAAATGACTGCCTAAAATTTGGCGGTTACAGCGTTATTTTTTTAGGTTTATGACTTTTTCTTTATTTTCTGGATTGTGTTGAACTCGAATTTTTTTCTATGCGCTGTTCTTGTATCAGAAAAAAATAGTAAGTTCAAAAATTGGATATACGTCCGGGCATATTTCATCAGGCATTTGAGCCTCATTTATTTACTGTGAGTCTCGGGTGGGCTCTAAAAATTTTGAACCTACTAATGAAATATTTTTTAATTATTTAATTCATGGACAACTTTTTTGCATAAGGTGAAAATTATGGCATATTAATTCCAAAAAAAAACAGTGAAAAATTCCAAACGCTTAAAGGCAAGGACTAATTTCACAAGCCAACTGCTTTGGCACTTCAAATATATATTTTGGAAGCAACTTGACCTATTATCAGCACAATACAAGGAATTTAAAGCATTGCCTTTGCTTTTAGGGATGTACGAGTATTATTATGCCTATACTGTACACTACTTAACATTAATAATGTGGCTTCAATTCAAGATCGCAGCCCTTTACTTGAACATATCATAAATAAGGGACAACATTGCAAAAGTTGAAATCCTGAATGAAATCTTGCTTTCCAGACACTTTCACCAAATGGGTTCAAATACTGCTCCTGGCAGTACCAACCACGCCAGACATTCAACTCTGAAAAACTTGTGAGGAGTTCGTCCTGAATGAAGATGAAAAGAGATGGCCATTTATCCTGTGATAGCTAACTGGCTTACAGTATATAGCTGAAAACTGCATGTTTCACATTTCAAGACGCTTTTTGTTGCCTTTGCATTTTTTTGGAAAGTGGGATGAAAAAATATATGTGATTTAGGTTACATTGTATAAAGACTTTCTTGTACATATTTTTGAATGCATTCATTCCATTGAAAGCCTGAATTGTACAATGATTACACAAAGTTGAGTAATTCAAAATTCGGAATCTGTGCTATATTTTGACTGATTGATGGATGAACATGTTTATTTCCATCTTAATTGTCAGAATCCACAAGGTTAACAAAATATTCACACCAAGCCACATCTCTCCCTCATTCCCCATCCCAATAAGAAACACATTCCTACCTATGAAAAATGAAACAATACATTATTTACAGAAAATAAATCACAGCGCTTTCTCTTAAACTGCCCATGCTTGAATTGTGATAGATTTCTTTTGGTAGAATCAAAATGGGCAAGCTTGGATAAACATGCACGCTCAAAAGTGCAAGGAGAAAACCCTATGTTTTCCAATTGTGAAGAGAAAAGGGGGACCATGTTAGGGACGAAAATCACCACTCCATAAGGATGAAACTAATGGCTTTGAATCAAGAAAACAAGTTTGATGAAGCAAACACAGATTCAGCCTGTGACAGAGGCTGGGAATTCATGGTAGAATCATTGAGTTAACTCAAGAGGAGTATATTTCTGAAATAATGTCCGAATGCAAATATAAGTTGAACAAATCACCACATGATATGCACAAAAATGACCAAATCCTTTCAGCAAGCTCATACTGTAAAGGCTGTTCACTGCACAATAGCTTGGCTCAGACTGCTGGTAAAATTTGAATTGGAGGGGTTTTTATTAATTTGTCACACTGGCCTTGATCCAGTGCTCTGGCTGGAGATCAGGAAATTCTCATGGGCCTGGCATTGGCCAGGAAAAGTCAGGTTGAAGAAGACACTGATGACAGAAAGCCTTGGAGGAAAGTTTTAAAGTTTCCAGGGGTTTCTGCTCTAATGGTTTCTATTGCTGGACAGTTTCTCCACCCAATTTATTCTTTCCCGCAATAATGAGGGCATATCAAACTGGTGGTGGGTCCCAAACAGACATGTCCTGCAAAAATGTGCGAATTGAATGAACGTGACTTTTGACAAGGAATGTTGAAGATGAAACTGTTTTAAATAAAGGATTTGAAGGCACATGAATTGAAAGCCAATAGAAACAGTTTTTGGGAACCCAATCTAATATAATTGCATGAAAAAGGATACAGCTTGAGCCCATTTAGAATTAGAACAAAATTGTGTCGGCAACTTGATTGTGAAAATGGATTTAAAATCTGAAATTCCTTCCTGGATTCTTGCCAGGCATTGACTTGGTTCAGACATCTTCCCGGCATTTATTTATTTGTGCCAATACAAGGAATGTAAGTCATGTACAATTTGGTTAGCCTCATGACTAATAATGCCTGAACCCTATTGCAAACAAAATCCAAGTACTGTACCAGTTTATTGCACACATGAATAAAAAGGCCCTTAAGAACTTTCACAGCAACCAGGACTTCAATATGTTCATCCAGAGTTTCAGCAGACACATTTACTCATGGATGGCATTTGAGTTTACATATTATTTGATACATTAGTTTTAAATATTCATGCTCATTTGATGAGATTATTTAGTGTTTTTTTGGATTCTCTGGATTGGATTAAGAAAGGTTTTGTATCGCATTTCCTTTTAACAGTTTCAAGAAATCATTTGATGAACCTAAGAATGTGCATTCAATGTTTCCTCTTAACTCTTGGGAAGCAGATATGGTTCTTTTGCATCACGCGGCAGTGCTGGGATTTTTTTTTGCAGGCTCCTGTATGTATTTTGGTTTGATGGAACGTCACCAAAACGCAGCTTTAGCTAGGAAGCCAAAGTTTGGAAAATTCCTAAGAAAATGAAAGACATGCCCTGTTCCTCCCCCCATTGATAATCCTATGATGGCAGGAACGTAGAAAAAATGCCACCCAGTTGTCATTGGTCCATTGGATCCCAGACAAAGGAATTGAATTGTGCAGCCATCAGAATACAAGTTTTGAATAAGAACTCAAACTCTTTTCATAGGAGTTCATTCTCATTGCCCAGATCATCAATTGCCTGGTAATTGGATGGTTTTAGTGGCAGAGTCAATTATAAGATTGGTTGGTTAGTTCAGAATATTGAATGAGGTAATTAAAGTTAAAAGGTCCTTTTAACATTAGTTTCTGACTTCTTCTCTCAAAGAGGAATGAAAGTTTTTATACTCAGGTGCTTGGACTGGGTCAAAGACTCAGGATTGGCCATTTTTAGGAAAATCAAGGAAGTGCTGATGACCACTTTTTGTCCTTGAGTGAGGCTCAGTGATGTTGGGGACAGAAGTCACCTCAACAAGGGTTTGCTGAAAAGACGAAGTTGGAATAGTTTTGAAGAAAACGCAGAATCAGCCCAGGACTGGGGTTGGGAATTCACGGTGGAATCCCTGGTTAATAGTTAATGTATATTTCAGATGTCCCAATAATTGTTTGAGAAAGAATCACACAAAACACAAGTTTTTAGAAAATTACCAAATTAGTTCAAACAACAAAAAACCTCTCAGAATGCAATGCTCCAGCAGCTAGATCAGACTGTGTACAGTCAACCCCCGGTTAAAGTCCCGTCTGGTTAACATTTTTTCAGTTAACGTTCTGGATCTCAAAAAGGAAAATCCCCACTGTTAACGTTCCCAAACTTGGTTAACGTTTTTAGTTGGTGCAGGGCCAAAAACGTTAACTGAAAAAAAACCGTTAACCGAGGGAGTCTTTCCCTTAAGAAATAAGGGAGAAATGTTTATTTGGTTCCACAAAAAATTTTCTTGAGGTAAAATTCAGAAAAAAATTGACCAAAGAGTGTATTCCAACAACTGAGCTTTATGCACTGCCATTACATTCAAAAGGTAACCACAGTTATTCACTCAATTAAAATCAGAGATTCATTTTAATGACACAAAAAGTCACTCATCAGAGTCACTTGAGGCATTTGCCCTCTTGCAGGGGTGAGATTTGTAACCTGGTGGCCCAGCTTGGTCCATTGATGGCCCAGCTTGGTCCATTGATGGCCCAGCTTGGTCCATTGATGGCCCAGCTTGGTCCATTGATGGCCCAGCTTTGTCAGGAGAGAAGAAGCTTTTGATGGATGATTGCTTCTCCCTACTTTTGAGAANTGAAGTCCAAACCATCTTCAAAGAACAACATCCCAACAACATTCAAGTTCAACAAGCTTTGGATGTTCTGGACTCTGTTCGTGGAAGGCATTCAACTGCCATTCTCAAAAGTAGGGAGAAGCAATCATCCATCAAAAGCTTCTTCTCTCCTGACAAAGCTGGGCCATCAATGGACCAACCTGGGCCATCAGGTCACAAATCTCAGCCCTGCAAGAGGGCAAATGACTCAAGTGACTCTGATGAGTGACTTTTTGTGTCATTAAAATGAATCTCTGATTTTAATTGAGTGAATAACTGTGGTTACTTCAAGAATGTAATGGCAGTGCATAAAGCTCAGTTCTTGGAATACACTCTTTGATTAATTTTTTCTGATTTTTACCTTAAGAAAATTTTTTTTGGAACCAAATAAACGTTTTTCCCTTATTTCTTAAGGGAAATACACCCCTGGTTAACGTTTTTTCCAGTTAACGTTTTTTTGCTTGGAACCAACTAAAAACATTAACCGGGGGTTGACTGTAGTTCATGGATAAAAAGGGTGTATTTATTAATTTCTTCTCTGGTCCTTGATCAAGGGGACTTGATCAAGGACAAGAAAATCTCAGAGGCCTGGGATTGGCCAATAAATTGGTCATCAAAGACGTCTTGGCGCCAAGACCCTTGAATTTTTCGGGGGAGGGGGAAAGTTGTTGACAACTTCCACCTGATTAAATATTTATAATTGATTTTCCAAAAGGGGGATGCGCAGCAAGTGCCCAACAAGTGAGTCTTGCAAAAATGGGATTTTTGCAAGGCTAACTGGCCTTGGAAATGTAACAAGTTTTCTTGTCAAGTTTGTGGTCCAATGCTGGAGCTGCGTTGCTTTGGTAGCTTCTGTACACAAAACCAATAGCAACATTTTTATTACTTTTTCTTGAAATTATTTTTGGCAGGAATCCTAAAAGAATGTGGGATTTTCCCCAACTTGGGCTCTTCTCATCATTTTTGTTCCCCTCTTCCAAAATATTCATTCATTGGACCATCAGAGAAAATTCCACCTTACTCCTGCCATTGGAAGAAACTGTTTGCCACTGAAGGGTCAATACCCATGTACAGTATATAGTGAATTGTTGCCTTTCCTTCAGATATGCTGGAACCTGTCTGGATGATTGTGTGTGTGAGATGAGGGAATGGGGCTATATGGGGAATCATATTTGAACCTTGTGAACTCGGAAAAATTAATGAAGCTTGTGTATCAATGCAGTTGTGTTTTTCTTTTGCTTTTCCAAGTGCATCAATTGTTCATGTACAAGAAGGAACTCGCATTTCACTGTTGGTTTATTATCTTCGGATGATCCACATTTATCTTTTTGAAATGCAACCTCACGGTTCTCCAGGAAGTATTCTCTGATTCCGTGAACGTTTTGACCCTGGAACTATATGAAATTGTTGACAAGGAATCACGTGTTCGTTTGTCATTTTCCACGAGATCACGTTTATCACCACGACGTAGTGCTGAGGTGAAGTGTTCTGAGTGAAATTCCCTTCAAGTGCCAAGAATTATCTCTGAAATGCTCGATAATATGCTGGGTTCTTGGTACAAAACTACACGAGTATTACGCATTCCAATATTTTCTGCTCAGAAGATTCATTTTCCTAAAGTCGCCACACAATTGTGATTTTCCTTGAGAAATTTTCAAGTGACTTGTTCGAATCTTCAAAGAGGCAGAGAATGTCTTCATGATCTTGCAATCAAATTCTGAAAAAACTATTTTGAATTAGAAAAAAATGGCCGTGGAAAGTGACTTTGTGGATGTATTGTTGTGACTGGAAAAGGTGTGAATCACTTTTCAAATAAAGTATACAGCAATCAACTGGGCTATGGCTGGATGAGTGCTTGATACCTTATAGTGTAAAGTTGGTATATTTTGACATAAGCCAGGATTTCAATTGCAAACAATAGTTTGACATCTTTTGCATGAGACTGCCAAAAAGCAACTGATGATCCAAACAGAAGGGAAATCAGCATTTAACCCTTGGACGGCAGAGGGTTCTTTCCCATAACGGGACAGAGTCAGATTTTTTTTGTATCCTCCCGCATTTTTAATTTTCAAAGGTCAAGAAAACCCTTCCAGGTGGGCTGAGGCAAAGTTGGGATAAATAAAAAAAAAGCCAATGGCCTCACAGAGCATTTTTAAAATTTTCCTGCAAAAATTTTCTGTGCCCAGGGAAAAAAAAAAAATCCGTATTTTTCCTGATTTTGCCCTTAACCCCCTGTTGACATTTTTTTCTTCACCTCTCTGAGGTGCAACACAATTTTGCAAAAATAGTCCAACTTTGCTGCCAAGCGCTAAACACCTTTCCTGCTGGTGAAATTTTGTCCCTGTGGACTGAATTATCCGAGGAAATCTCAAGTATATCTAGAAAAAACCCCATTGGGAAGACTGGGAAATCACGGTCAAACTTGGTACCATGAAGTTCCTGGTGGATTAGATTTCTTCCAATGGTCTAACAATTAATCTTTCTTCAAAGTTGTGTCTCTCAATTCAGACATTAACTCATTCATTTTTTTCCAATTTCCAACATATGTATCTCATTGGTGAACAAAGATTTTTTTTAATTTTTGCTCAAATAAATTTTGAATGCGGGTGGCTTTCATTTATACGAAAACACAGCTGATGATTTCCATAATATTATTGCCTTGGATGTTCTATTGACAGTGAAAAATATTAGCTGATATGGACCCAAAAACCGAATCCGCAACTTCAACAGAAGGTGAATACCATTTAAGTTTTTAAAGTTGCTTCATATATCTGAATCGAGTTACAATTCTCAAGAAGGTGACGGCCCTCATAAACGTCAAAAAGGGCTGAAATATGGAAGTAACTCTAGCAGCAGCCCGCCTTCGAAAAACAATGAATATCCCGCCAAAGATGCAGCAAAGGAAGGCGTCATATTGAAAAGAAGAGTGGGACTTCTGAGTGGTGTTGCTTTGATTGTAGGGAACATGATTGGTCAGTGAGTCAGTAATTTTTTTCTGGCAATGTTCTGCCAGGATTCAAAGACCTTATTTTTGTACCAAGCTGGGCCATCAGGTTACAAATCTCAGCCCTGCAAGAGGGCAAATGACTCAAGTGACTCTGATGAGTGACTTTTTGTGTCATTAAAATGAATCTCTGATTTTAATTGAGTGAATAACTGTGGTTACTTCAAGAATGTAATGGCAGTGCATAAAGCTCAGTTCTTGGAATACACTCTTTGATTAATTTTTTCTGATTTTTACCTTAAGAAAATTTTTTTTGGAACCAAATAAACGTTTTTCCCTTATTTCTTAAGGGAAATACACCCCTGGTTAACGTTTTTTCCAGTTAACGTTTTTTTGCTTGGAACCAACTAAAAACATTAACCGGGGGTTGACTGTAGTTCATGGATAAAAAGGGTGTATTTATTAATTTCTTCTCTGGTCCTTGATCAAGGGGACTTGATCAAGGACAAGAAAATCTCAGAGGCCTGGGATTGGCCAATAAATTGGTCATCAAAGACGTCTTGGCGCCAAGACCCTTGAATTTTTCGGGGGAGGGGGAAAGTTGTTGACAACTTCCACCTGATTAAATATTTATAATTGATTTTCCAAAAGGGGGATGCGCAGCAAGTGCCCAACAAGTGAGTCTTGCAAAAATGGGATTTTTGCAAGGCTAACTGGCCTTGGAAATGTAACAAGTTTTCTTGTCAAGTTTGTGGTCCAATGCTGGAGCTGCGTTGCTTTGGTAGCTTCTGTACACAAAACCAATAGCAACATTTTTATTACTTTTTCTTGAAATTATTTTTGGCAGGAATCCTAAAAGAATGTGGGATTTTCCCCAACTTGGGCTCTTCTCATCATTTTTGTTCCCCTCTTCCAAAATATTCATTCATTCTCCCATCAGAGAAAATTCCACCTTACTCCTGCCATTGGAAGAAACTGTTCGCCACTGAAGGGTCAATACCCATGTACAGTATATAGTGAATTGTTGTCTTTCCTTCAGATATGCTGGAACCTGTCTGGATGATTGTGTGTGTGAGATGAGGGAATGGGGCTATATGGGGAATCATATTTGAACCTTGTGAACTCTGAAAAATTAATGAAGCTTGTGTATCAATGCAGTTGTGTTTTTTTTTTGCTTTTCCAAGTGCATCAATTGTTCATGTACAAGAAGGAACTCGCATTTCACTGTTGTTTTATTATCTTCGGATGATCCACATTTATCTTTTTGAAATGCAACCTCACGGTTCTCCAGGAAGTATTCTCTGATTCCGTGAACGTTTTGACCCTGGAACTATATGAAATTGTTGACAAGGAATCACGTGTTCGTTTGTCATTTTCCACGAGATCACGTTTATCACCACGACGTAGTGCTGAGGTGAAGTGTTCTGAGTGAAATTCCCTTCAAGTGCCAAGAATTATCTCTGAAATGCCGATAATATGCAGGGCTCTTGGTACATAACTAAGCAAGCATTCCGCATTCCAATATTTTCTGCTCCTCAGAACATTGATTTCCCTAAATTCACCACACAATTGTGATTTTCCTCAAGAAGTTTTGAAGTGACTTGTTCAATAACCTTCAAAGAGGCAGAGAATTTCTCCAGGATCTTGCAATTACATCCTGAAACAACTATTTTGATTCGGAAAATAAGGGCCATGGTATCCATGTGAAAAGTGACTTTGTGGATGTAATTTTGTGACTGGAAAAGGTGCGAATCACTTTTTAAATAAAGTACAGTATACAGCAATCAACTGGGCTTTGGCTGGAGTGCTTGAGACCCTAATGTAAAGTTGGTATATTTTGACATAAGCAAGGATTTCAAAAGCAATCAATTGCAAACAAGAGTTTGACATCTTTTGCATGAGACTGCCAAAAAGCAATACTGATGATCCAAACAGAAAGGGAAATCAGCATTTAACCCTTGGAGGGCAGAGGGTTCTTTACCATAGCAGGACAGAGTCAGATTATTTTTGTATCCTCCTGCATTTGCATAATTTTGAAGGTCAGGAAAACCCTTCCAGGTGGGCTGAGGCAAATTCAGGGTAAATCTGAAAAAAGCCGGTAGCCTCACTGAGCATATTTTTCATTTCCCTGCAAAAATTGTTGGTGCCCCAGGAAAAAAAAAAATCCAGAGTTTTCCTGACTTTGAAATTAAACTCCAGTTGACATTTTTTCTTCACCTCTCTGAGGTGCAACAAAATTTTGCAAAAATAGTCCAAATTTGCTACCCAAGGATTGAAAACCTTTTCTGGTTAAATTTTGTCCCTGCTGAGGACTGAATTATCCCAGGAAATCCCAGGGGTATATAGAAAAACCCCCGGTGGGAAGACTGGGAACTCACAGTCAAACTTGTTACCAAAAAGTTCCTGGTGGATTTGACTTCTTCCCATATTCTAACAATTCATCTTTCTTCAAAGTTGTGTCCTCAATTCAGGCATCAACTTATGCATTTGTTCCAATTTCCAACATATATCTCATTGGTGAACAAGGATATTTTTTAATTTTTGTCCAAATACATTTTGAATGCGGTTGGCTTTCATTTATATACGAATACAGCTGAAGATTCCCATAATATTATCGTCTTGGATGTTTTATTGACAGTGAAAAATACTAGCTGATATGGACCCAAAAACCGAATCCGCAACTTCAACAGAAGGTGAATACGATTTAAGTTTTTAAAGTTGATTCATATATCTGAATCGAGTTACAATTCTCAAGAAGGTGACGGCCCTCATAAACGTCAAAAAGGGCTGAAATATGGAAGTAACTCTAGCAGCAACCCACCGTCCAAAAACGATGAATATCCCAATGATGCAGCAAAGGAACGTGTCATATTGAAAAGAAGAGTGGGACTTCTGAGTGGTGTTGCTTTGATTGTAGGGAACATGATTGGTCAGTGAGTCAGTAATTTTTTTCTGGCAATGTTCTGCCAGGATTCAAAGACCTTATTTTTGTTTTTACCAACAGGTTCAGGTATTTTTGTGAGTCCAGGGCAATTACTGAACAGAACTGGTTCTGTGTCAGTTGGCTTGATTGTCTGGGTAGCCTGTGGACTGCTGTCTTCCTTGGGTGAGGTAGCAAAGCTGGAATTCAGTTCTCTGGTGGATTCAAGACCCTTATTTATAGATGAATATTTTTCACTTCAACAGAAACCTCATTTAGGCTATAGAGCTCCTCAGGGAAGTTTTGCATTTATTATTTGGGATTTGGTTGAAGAAGAAAATTAATGAAATGAAAATTAATCATTAAATCAAACTGTGGATATACAGTGGCCCCCCACCTAAACAGACCTCCCGTGTAAGGGATTTTTGCCAAACAGACCAGCTCTGCAAGTAGTTTTTCCTCCTGCCCAACAGACAAAATCTGCCAAACAGACTTCTTTTGGTTTAAAATTAGTGTTGAAAATTGAAATTTTTAATTTTTTATGTAATTGAATTTGTGTAAAGGACTTTTTGTCTAACAGACTTGTCCCTTGCACAAATCAAGTCCATTAGACGGGGTTGACTGTATAAAAGAGTGCATTATGTTTGAATGGCTGGTTTCATGTAGCTTAGGTAATTACCTAGAATTTTTTCGATGTTCACCTCAGTTTCTGACTCATGCATGCCAAACTAATGTTTTACTGTTATCTCCCAGTCAAGAAACCTAAAGAAATGCATGTATACAATCTTCATGCATTGATTTCGAACTTATACAGGAGCTTTGGCATATGCAGAACTGGGAGGAGTGATTCCCAAAAATGGAGGAGAGTTTGTGTATTTGCTGGAGAGCATGAGAGACCTGCACCCAGTTCTGGGTCCTCTGCCAGGTTTCCTGTTTGTCTGGGTTACATCCATTTTGCTGAGACCCTCTTCACAGGCCATCCTCACCCTCACTTTCTCCAGGTACTTGTTGTATCCCATCTGGAATGGTCTGACAGATGTTGATTTGGACAACCCTGACTGCGCAGATGTTGATTTGTGGAGCTACAAAATTACAGCTGCTGCCTGTGCATGTGAATATATCTGAATTATCTTTGTTATTTTTCAATAGACATTCAGCGCCAATTGAAGTAGATAAAAGCTGTACATAGAAACAATGTTTCCCATATGGATATGCCATTACCCAAACCCCCCTCCCTAGCTATATAGACACATAAATTCAAACACATTCCAGCACATCAGGAGAGAAAAATAGATCCATGGGTATTGAAAGAAAATACTGTTTATCAAATGTAATACAAATACATGAGTTCACTTCCTTTTTTCAGAGAATAGAGAAAGAAAATATCAATTACAATAATCACAGCACAAGGCAATTACTGATCACAAATTACAGCATATTTTTCCTAAAAAAAACTCCTCCTTCCTCCTCAGGAGGACAAGTAACCCACCTGAAAATTGAGTCCCAAAGTAAAGTGAGCTGACAGACTAGAATTTCACTGAAAAAGCTCCAGTGAATGAAATTAGGCAACCAGATAATGAGAAAAAATATTACTAATGAAGGAATCATTGAACATTCGTCAGTCCTCCAAGTTTTTAAAAATACTGAGGGCTGAACAAATAAATGATTCCTCATAGTTGTATGAAGACTTGTTGAACCCAAACCAGTGGCTCTATACAAGCTTTTACTGCACATATTTTTTGTGATTTTCCAAGCCCTTAACCAGCACAATACTTTTAGTTAACCCTTTATTTCCAAATGCAATTATAGTATAATTTAAAATATTGATATTCAGGTAGTGTTGGTGGAACGGTAGTTGAAAATATTTTGCTGAGTAACACTTGCTCCTGCTTAAAAAAAAAAATCAATTTCCAAACCTTTTCGACATTCTTTACAGGTCTGGTGGCTTTTGTCAATTGTTACAATGTTCGACTTGCAACGAGAGTGCAGAATTTCTTCACTGCAGCAAAGTTGATTGCCATCGTGATTATTGTCATCGGAGGAATTTACAAGATGAGTCAAGGTGAGGTTAGAATAATTTGAATGATTTTTTTTTTCGAGTATATTTCGAATCATTAAAAAATAGGAAATTATGGCAACTTGAAGCCAGATTTTGAAAACACTGGGGAAGTTGGACAAATAGCAACTGCATTTTACAGCGGCCTGTGGGCATATGATGGCTGGTAATTAAATTGTTTTGAATGCTTCCTGGATTTTTGAAAACTTTTTTTTTATTTCCGAAGGAACAACATGAATTACATCACTGAAGAAATCGAGAACCCATTTGTGTGAGTGCCCTGGAAATTTTGTTTTTCAACTAACAATCCCGGCAGAGAGGAATGCCTTTTGCAGAAATTTGCCACGGGCCATAATGATCGCTGTTCCATTGGTAACACTGTGTTACACCTTGGTGAATATTGCTTACTTGACAGTAATGACAGCTGGTGAAATAATTGCAAGTAAAGCAGTTGCTGTGGTGAGAAGATACTTCTTTTTTGCATGTGTATGCAAAAAATGTATAATTATTCCTGTTTTTTTTTGGCAGACATTTGGTGAAAAAGTTTTGGGGAAGGCTGCTTTCATCATGCCTCTTGCTGTTGCGTTTTCTACCTTTGGAGCAGCAAATGCATCTGCATTCACGGTTGGAAGGTTTGTTCCATTTCTCAATGCTGAAATGCCCAGAAGGGAACAATGTGTTAGGTTCTTAGGTAAACCCATCAGGACCAAAGTTCAAAGTACAACTATAATTGTTCTGACTGGAAGACATACATCAAACAGAAGACTTTTCTCTCCACTAGTTTTGCCGTAAGGTTTCTAAATTAGACCATTTTCACTGCAGTTTTGATGATTATACATTTTTCACATTTATATGGGTGCATAGTTTGGGTACCCGGTCAACCGCCAGTCGGTAAAATCACAGTTGTGCACCTGCCAGCTGTCAAGCGCCGGTTGGTCCAACTGCCAGCCAGGGCAGTCCTTGGCCTTGCCAATCCCCTGCCCATCAAACCGCTGTTTGGTCACCCAATTGTTGTAGCACTGGGACAATTGGGTGACAAAACCCATGCTGATTCTTTCCAAACTTTTATGAGCAGAATGGTATCCTACATTCCTACCCCAGATTTTTTTTTTACAAAATTTCTTATAAAAATTTTCAAAGAAAGAAAAAACTCATCAAATCCAACCTAACCTAACCTAACCTAACATATCCTAACCTAACCTGAACTAACATAACATAAACTGACCTAACCTAACCTAAAATAACATGACATAAACTGACCTAACCCAACCTAACCTAACATTGCTGAAATGTTCCAAAAGATATAATCTGTGGTAGGAATGTAGGATACCATTCTGCTCATCAAATTCTGGAAAGAATCAGCATCATTCTTGTCACCCAATTGTTCTGGTGCCTCAACAATTGGGTCAACAATTGGGTCCTGCCCACCAAACCGGGGTTTGGTGGGCAGGGGATTGGCAAAGCCAAGGACTGCCCTGGCTGGTGGTTGGACCGACCGGCGCTTGATGGCTGGCGGGTGCGCAACCATGATTTGACCAACCGGCGGCTGACCAGACACGGATAGTTTGCTACCCTTCTTTTCTACCTTTATTTTGTGGAAAAACAATTTGGATGTGTGGTACCTGTAGGCATGTGATGGGAAAAAAAATTTCTAGTACAGTTGAACCTCTCTAAGTCAAACTTCCAGGGACCAGCAAAAAAATTTGACTTAAGGAGTTTTTTAATGTAGGTACAATACAAAACCCTTTTTGTGTTGGAAAACAGAAACATTTCTCAAAATTATGAATTGAAATCTTCTGTGGCTGAAATTACTTCTTAAATGAATTGAAAGCATCCTGAACTTGGAGGCAGGGTTCATTTGCCCAATGAACTCTCTCACCTCATTTCAAAACAAATCAATTTATGTTTTATTGCATTTTTTCTTTCCTGTATCAAGAAAATAAAAGCCAACATGCCACATAAAATTTGACTTATGGAGGTTTGAGGAAAAAAGCCTTTGATTTAGGGAGGTTTTAAATGCATTAGTTCTAAGGGGATTCTGACACAACCTGAGAAAAATAGACTTAGGATGGGTTTCAACTTAGGGAGGTTTGAGTTATCAAGGTTCACATGTACAACAATGTTATTACCATGGATTGCTGTAGAAAATGTGCAAAACATCATGCAATATACAACATTACATATTATTCATGCATTTCTGAGTAAGTTGCCCATTTCATTTCACTGACCAGGTTGACATACTCAGCAGCTAAGGAGGGACACATGGTTGATGTTATGTCCTATGTTCAGGTGAAGAGTCTTTCACCTGCACCAGCAATAATCTTCAATGTGAGTAATTCATGCACATGTTAAGATCTATTTACAATGGCCATTCAAACCTGAAAGAATTGGATATAGAAAACTTCTTATTACATTCATGGTCCACTGCTGGTGGATTAATTATGTGATTGAATCACATTCAATGCTCCCAAAATAAACACAAAAGGGAAGACATTGAATGTGCCAATGTACTGCATTACTTGGATACTCAATCAGGTGCCTGAATTGTACAAAAGTGGAACATCCGAAACTTCTTAAGGAAAAATGGAAAATCGTTTCAATAATGGGATTTTATATACTTGACATTCCTTTCAGCATCATGGCAAAGGTGTGGTTTTGAAATGACATCAGCAATAAATAAGATTTTTGTGGCACATGCACAAAGCCTTTCCACAAACTTGAATGACTTTAGATCTGTTCGCAGGGGAGATCTGTTATGAAACTGCACTTCATTCAAAGTTGTTAGTTTCCACTGAACATCTGACGCCATATTGAAACATTACCGAAGTCATCGTTGAAAATGTTTTTTTCAGGCCATGCTGGCAGTGGTCATGATCATGATGGGTGACATAGGGGATCTGATAGACTTTGTCAGCTTCACCAGCTGGATTTTCTATGGTCTTGCTATGGTTTCTCTCATCATTTTGAGAAGGACTCGGAGAGACTTCAAGCGTCCTTACAAGGTAAGAGATGTCGTAAATTCCGGGAAAACTCGAATACTGATGGACTATAAAATCTTTCGCTCGATCCTGGAAGTTTGACTCAAACACGTTTGAACTGCATATTTTATTCTCAGTGTTATTTGTAATTCACATCATAGGGAAGTACGCGACATCTTTGCAAGTCTTTTAGCAACACATTTTCAAAGTTTACGGCAAGCGCATTCAGATGTCGCTAACGCATGACAATCATTGTTCAAGTAATAATCAACATGCTCATCAACACAGGTGAACATCCTGGTGCCCATCACCGTTGCATTGATTGCTATTTACCTCGTCGTTGGGCCAATTGTAGCAGACCCGAGAGTTGAATACCTCTACGCACTCGGGTTCATTTTTCTTGGGGTTTTGGTGTACATCCCATTTGTGGCGCACCAATACTCTCTTCCAGGAATGAGTGAGAATCTCCATTCATACATTTCAATGAAATTCGCCGCCCAGTGAACAGATTCTTTATTGTGTAGGAAACGTTTTCGCAGTTCAACAAAGGCTCTGAAATTAATTTTCACAGTAAAATCTCGTTATACAGCAAAGCCATCGTGTGACCTGCAGAAGAAGCTTTGTTATAACAAAAAAAATGTCGTTATAAAGACACTCGAAAACAAATTTGGCCATTTTTAATGTCTATTCGTAAATTTAATTGAAAGCGACCCGAAGAAGGAATTCTCTTCAAACGATTCCTGTATTCGTAATAATTCAATTCATTTAAACGAGATTTCTTGGATATCACATGTTCCTAAATAAACTGCAAACTCAATTACGAAGCTGATGTAAATCACATTGACCGACACATAGTCTCTTCATTAAGATGATCAACACTTTCGTGCTTCTCAGATTGTGTCGAAATATTGCTAATATTGGAATTTTAAATATTCAGCATATAATTGAATATGTTAAAATTGAAAAAATTGAAGAAGCCCCTTTATTCACAAGTAATTTACTCACTGCGGTTCGGAGTTCAAACAAGGATGTATATAACTATAATTCCTGTATTCGTAATAATTCAATTCGTTTAAACGAGATTTCTTGGATATCACATGTTCCTAAATAAATTGCAAACTCAATTACGAAGCTGATGTAAATCACATTGACCGACACATATAGTCTCTTCATTAAGATGATCAACACTTTCGTGCTTCTCAGATTGTGTCGAAATATTGCTAATATCGGAATTTTAAATATTCTGCATATAATTGAATATCTTGAAATTGAAAAAATTGAAGAAGCCCCTTTATTCACAAGTAATTTACTCACTGCGGTTCGGAGTTCAAACAATGATTTATATGACTATAAACTTGATTTCCAGGTACTTATGAAAATATCTGAGCTTTAAAAGAAAAAAATTTAAAACATTTGAATGCTGCTGATGCCTTGTGTTTTTCTTTACATCATATCCACGATTATGTTAGACATATTGAAAGAGGCCAGAATTTTCCTCATCACATTTTCAGCAGCATAAAAATTGAAAAATTTATAAGGAACGCAATAACGCGTTTTATTCATTTTATAAATAAATGAACGTCTTTCAGAACATCGACACAATTATTACTTACTGCTTGAAAAATGTTCTCTCTGAAAATATCGTCTAAAAATTTTGGTTATTGTACTTCATAAACAGATTGCAGCAATCATTTCCTGCCGCTTCACGAGATTCTTGATAATCTAATTATTTAATCCAATGAAGATTTTTCTTTTCTGCATGGATTTTCTGGTGAATGAAATGATGCTGGGTCTAACAGTTATCACTGAAAATATTTTGACAAGATGTTGCGAGAGTTGAAGCAGAAATTGTGCTTTCGTTTGCAGAAACCATAACCAGATGGATTCAAATGTTGCTGCAAGTTGTTCCGACCAATAATCCAGATGCTCAGACAGGAAATCCGTGATGTGATCATCAAAATTATTTCAATTCTGAAAAATAGGTCGGTAATCCATCCCACCTGTGATACAAAGCTAGATCGTTAATTTTCTACAATTCTTCAATAATTTGGCACCGAGTAATTTCAATTCTTTGCATAAAACTTTTGTCGTTTAAAAGTATACAAATGGAAATTAAATTCTCATTACAGTTGCAAACTGCAGCATAAATTCAATTTCTGATCAAAATATATAAAAAATGTGCATTTGATGAGCGGGTTTCCCAAATATTCAATTTCGAAAGGCCCAAAATATGGAATGTACAAGTGCGAAATGTTGTTCAGATTTTATTTTTTTTTGGCATGTTGAGAAATTTGCATTCCGTGTGACGTGAAATACAGTGCAAGAATTTCAATACCGTTGCTCGCTATTGTTCATTTAACTGCATCAAGATAGGATTTTCTGAAACACAGTACTATGAAATTCGAAATTCCAAATGTATTCTATGAAGAGAGCTCATCTGTTAAATGTATATTGTAAAACCAGGCCGATAAAATTGATCCTAGCACAAATTTCATGAAAAATTAGAGCAAAAAAAAAAATTATTTCATGATGGTTAAGCGTCAAAAACATCCATTTGCTTCTGGAATTCCCATTTTGAAAAAATTTTCTTTCGTTTTGATAGGGAAGTATGCAGATATTTTCATGATTCACGTTTGGCGACATCTAGATATTCACTAAAAATATCTCAACATTTTTTCCGTCGGTTATTATATAGAGGCTATGTTCGTTCCAGCTATGGGAAATGTGGTTAAGCCAGATATTTCTCATATCCCTAGAAGACCCAAATAACCCAATGAATCATGACTTTCTTGACAGTTCAATTATTGTACAGAAGTGCGTGTTTCAGACATTTGAGTAATAAAATTATTATCGCATATCGCTTCAAAATCGTAAAAGATCCCACATTCCATTCGATAATCGATCCGCTTGTGGTTAGTTCTCACTGATAAGCAACTCGTCATTTGAAGTTCAAAACCGAATTCCCCATAATTCAATATTGAAATGCTTGTCATTCTTCAAGCGACCCTTTTTCAATGAAATTGATTTCATTATATCGTTCGGATGATGTTTGCGTTCCGTGTCAGGAAAGAACGCCAATATCAGAAAATAGAAAATAGCTTGATAATTAAACATTTTCTCATGCTTAAATAATCCAATCAAAACCGAAAAATACGAATATAAATACGGTTTTCACTTCCCTTTCCTTTTTGCAAACATGGACAAATAATTTTGAACTTATTGAGCCTGAAGTCGGTCAACAATTCATGTTCAATTATGAGCTAACAACTCTTTCTAAACGTATAAGGACTTCTCAACTCGAAAGTTTGTTTTCCGAAGCAGCAAGGTACTTCAGCCAATTCATTGTTCTCTATTTATTTAATTTGAGAACCCAGGAAACAAGTGTGATGCCTTGAAATCATCATGACTTGTCAAGTTTCTGGTAATTTTTAAGAGTGTATTTCACAATACATTGCATAGTCCACATAGTGTCCATCAAAGTTGTGAATTTTGTGATGTACCTACAAGATCATGTCACAAATGACTTGATTATGGAAGTTTTCAATAAGTTTTTTCGCTCAAAATCCCGTCATTATGATACTCATAATCTATAGATAGCATTGTACAGATCAAATTCCATTTGAATATGAATGCAATAAAGTAATGTGGTCAAATTTAGTACTGTATATTATACAGAATAAAAATCTGACAAATACTCAATGGATTATTCGAATGGTAATCTTGAGAGTCTACTCTTGACTATAACATAACTTCAGTGATTTTAGTCCTTTCAATACTTGTGAAGTACATAATAATTTCAGTCAAATTATTACATCCAGCTTTTTCATTCATACAAACAGCTCTCCAGGACAATAGCTTGATGAAAAAAGTATCATGACAACATTTTTGGAAAGTTTTCATTCAAATGGTTGTTGTGACCATTCTGTGAGTGGAACTTTGAACCATGAAACTACATACAATTTTGAAGAAAATTGAAAAGGCTTTTATTTGGTGCTTTTTTCATTTCCACAGCTCAATTCACTACCCTGTGATTCAAAATCAAAACTTCAGCTCAATTTTTTTTTGCCTGTGCTGTATATGTGCTCTAGTGTGATAAGCATGAGGTAAATGTCGAACACATTCATACAAATGTCAAATTTTTGTTTGAAGTAATCTCTTTCTAAAGTCTCTGAAGGGGAATATACATCAATGTGTCAAATGTGGTCCAGTATATGGGACTTGTGGGATTTTTCTTTTATTCTGCTGAACTTTATCAACATGGGATCATTCATTCTTTTTTGTCGGTCATGATCATCCCAACTTGTGGATATGAGGCAATGTACTGCATAGGCATATTTTTCCGGAGATGTGGAGTTGATAGGCGTCCTTGGAATGTTCCTTCCCGGGTTCTTTCTTTGGACCTGGGATCAGAATGATGCCGACAACACTGTTATCCGGGCAGACGAATCGACCGGGTCGATATGCTGATGGACAGCAGGAAGTCTCATGTTTTTTTTCTGCTTCTTTTTTTTGCAGTATTGTGCATCAAAAAAGTGTTTTCCTTTTTGGAACCTTAAATGTGATATTTTCAAAGAGAAAAAGAATGATTCATGGTTGATCCTATTTTTTCTGATGATATCAGACTTATGTGAGCATGATGAATCTGACTATGAGTTGAAAGTGGATTTGATAGCAGAATTCCATGCATTTAAATTCTTGCAGTTTTAATTGATTGGGGAAGAGAATGTGCATGATTTTTTAAATCATTGAGAATGCCGAAGTTAGAAGCAAGGCTTGATGAGTTGAGCTCAATTTGTACATCAACAGCAGTTTTTTTTTTTCAAAATAAGCCTCTAAATTTCTTGTATTCAACTATATATTTTGCAGGTTTTGCCAGATTATTATGTAGTTTGGGTTTTGGGGACAACACTCAGCACAAAGTAGGGATGGCAAATACTGTTTGTGGATCAAACAAATTTGAAATGGAAACACAGAATCAGCCTGGGACAAGGCTGGAGGTTCTTGGTAGAATCCCTACTTCAACTTTATAAACTGTATTTCAGTTGATTGTCCCAACAGCAGCAATGACGATTTGAACCAGTTACAAAATACATTAGAATACAACAAAAACCTCTCAGCAAACTGTAATAAGTAACAGACTGTTCACCACACAACAGCTAGGTGCATATATACTGATGATGCAATTGGGAATGAAAGGGATTTTTATTAATTATTGTTACTGGCCTTGATCCAGCACTGTGGCTGGAGGTCAGTGATTTTTAAAGGCCTTGGATAGGCCAGGAAAATCTGATTTGAAGACAGCTCTTGGGACAGAAAGCCTTAAGGAAAGTTTTTGAATTTTCCTGGTTTTTCTGGTCTGATCATTTATTAATCCACTACAATTGGTAAATTTGTAAAATACAGTAATGAAAAAAATATTTTTTCGAAAGTTTCTCAGTCAGACTCATAAATATATTTATAGGGTGTTACGAATGTGGAACATCTGAGTTTTTTTCTTTCTTTGT